TACAAGTGGCATCCAAAGCATCAGGTGCTCTTGGCTTTCCTTCTCTTTCTCTGTCCATTTGATCTTAAGCTTCTTTTCCTCTGTCCACTCCTCAAATGTCACTTCTCACCATACACACTCTTTTTAAACCATTTCATTTATTCTCATGGTTTCAATTTCTAATAATAGCATTGCCATTTATTAGACACATTTCCCTTCTTTGTCCCCTACCCATCTCAAGAGATAGGGTATTGCTACATTGCCCAGAATGGCCTCAAACTCTTGGACTAAACTAATCCTCTAAGTAGTTGAGACTACAGGCACAAACACCACTGTGCCCTGCTCATTATCTCATTATATTCTCACAATGACTGTATAACCCTATGATTATCCTATCTTGTACAATAATTAACAGGTACCCCCCCCCAAGATAACAGAACTAGTAAGTTGGTGAAACTAAGCACTGGACCCAATCTGTTTGACCCCACTGCCTGTTAGGCTTCTGCACCTGTTTCAAGTGCAGGGTAGCCAAACATTATTCATCATCTTCCCCATGATGAATCAGCCATGTCCCCATGCTCCCTGCAGCAGGGAGAGAAATATAATTTGTCCAGTTGTTCAGTCCCCCATCCCAGGAATTATCTTCCCTCTCCCTTCACTATGCAACACCAACTTTGCTTTTAATCATTCCTTGAATCCAGCTTTTAGTCCCCATCCATTGTCACTCATCTATCGAGTCTAAGCATGTCATAACTGGGGTACATGTTGCCTGGAATTCCTCACCCCTACTCGTGTCTGTGCAGGACTTCAGATGGCTGGAGTCTCAGGGTGGTTGCCTGTAGTTGAATACAACCCCCTCCTTTACTATCTGGTGTGTCTTACAGCAGGAATCAGTTTCTCTGTGTGCACATGGAGAAATGCATTGAGAAGCAAGATCCAAAGCAGACTGCACCCAAACCTCCACTCTCCCTCTCCATTCCATCCATCTTCCTGCCTGCAGCCAGAGAGACCCAATTATGCTCTGTACAAAGTCTCTAGATGGGAGGGGGCAGGCCCCACACCCTCAGGACCACACCAAGTCCTGTTTATGGCTTACAAGATCCTCCACAGCCCCCTGTCCTCTCCAGTCTCTACTCCTACTTAGTTACCAGTGGAACTTCTTCTGTAGCCCCTTCTGTGTTCAGTACCATTTCTCACTCGACTTCTTTGCTCATGTGGTTTCCTTTTCTTATTATGCTACTGGTAACACGAAGGTTAAGACCAGCTAGGGCATCAAGCAACCCAGGTTTCAAGTCTGTGCTCTGTCACATGCTGGTGGTGAGAGTAATATCTTAACCCCAACTTGTATCTCCTCTGTAAAATGAGTGCCTACTTCAGGGCTGTTGTGGAATGAAAAGGGTGCGGGGGGGGGGGGGATGCAGACATAACAAGTGGTTGATCTCATAATCCATTTTGCTTCAACTGGTGGGACCCCTGAGAAGGCTCTCTAACTCGCCTTCCAAAGAACTCCATATGACATTCTACACCGCACCATACACTGACAGTTGTCTGGTCACTGCCCTGCCTGGCAGAGGTCCCCCAGGGCTGGGATCCACTGGGATGAGTCTCAACCCCTTGGGTCCAATCCTGGATGGGCCACTGTGGCCCTTTTATCAAGAACAGGAAGTTCCTCCAAGGGGTTGGTCATGTGGAGGTCACTGACCATCACAAATGCTAGAGTTCTCAAGCCCCCAATCCCCCACAGCTGCCCTCTCAGCAGCTCTCCAAGCCAAAGGCCAGGCTGGAGGGGCGGTCCTTCCAGCCATCTCTTGCCTGGTGATCAAGGGGGGCAGATTCACCTAAACCCAATTAGAACGCGAGTCTGCTCATTCACTGAAATAACAGTGAGCAAACAGATATGCCCGGTCCGAATCCTGCTTTTCCCTAAGACTCTGGCTGTGGGTTTCCCAGAGGGCAAGGGAGAGAAGACTTAAGAATAAAGGGGCACGGAGATTGGACTGTGAGGTAGGGGAGCACGCGCGGCAGCCACGGAGACTGGGGAAGGTGTAGGGCAGGCAGCAGGGAGAGCCACGTCTGTGGCTGGAGTGCAGCCAAGAGGGAACCACGTGCCGGTCGCGGGAGGCCTGGAAAGAAGTCACATCCGTGGGGCGAGAGAAGGAAGAAGGACGAGACTGCTGGGGCAGACTTGGGTAAACAGACGCTTGTCCTCCTGCTCATGAGTCAGAGGACCCGCGCTGGCTACTGGTGCCCCAGGTTTCTCAGGAGCCTAATGTGTGGTATCTGCTCTGGGACTGCCATCGCATGCAGCTCATTCCAAGGAAGATCCCTACTTTCAAATTCAAACTTCCTGACAAAGTTCCTGGGTAGTTGCTTACAGAGAGGATGGCGGTTCCTAAAATATTTCTGTCCCTACTCAGAGCTGGCTTTTTGAGCAGGTTTTAAGACTGAGGGAGAGACCCCCCCCCGAGGGGGGGGGCGCTGCGCAACAACCAAATACTGCTTCTCCCACCCATATGCTCAAGGACAATATCCTTGAAGGGCAAGATCTTGTTTCAATCGCCGGGGTCCATCCCAGGGGCAGACAGTGGTGGCTCTCCAGAATTCCTTCTCCTGTTTAGTGTGACACTTCATTCTCACCTTAACCTCAGTGAGGCTGTAGTAAACTCTGCTAGGTGCTCCACCCTGAAAGCATCTGAAGATCTGGGGTGGGCTGCTTCCTTCCTCTGGCTAATGGGCCTACATTTATCCTTTGATTGACGGAGAATGCAATACAGAATTAAGCACACATCAAGGAGAGTGGAAGAGAGCAAGTATCTCCATTAACTGGGGTACATCATTTAACCCTCAAAGACCTCGAAGTACCAGTTTACAAAATGGGGACACTGCTCTGCAACAGGAAGATTTCGGGTGTTAATGATTTTGACAGTGGTTGCCAGTTTTCTGAGGCAAAGGTGTGAGTAATGACATCTGAGCAGAAACAGTGAGGAATGTCCTCTTTAAGGAAAGCAGCAGCTGTCCCTGTGGCCCAGTATGCTCCAGGAGGATGCCCCCATGCCATCAACAAGGAAGCTCTCGGTGTTGGCAGCTAGATCTGCCTTTCTTTATTTTTCTCCATGCCCCCATGCAGCTCCTGGGCCAGGAGGACATCCTGTCACTTGGGGGACAGATCTGGCCTGAAGAGTAGTCCCCAACACAGGAAGCTGATATCCTTCCCAGATAAAATTGTGGACCCAGGTTTCACACTCAGCAAATAGCAGTATCTTTTGGTTTCAACTTCATGGGAACCCAGTGAGGCATCTTTATGCCCCTATTTTATACATGGGGACACTGTAAGGTTATGGAACCACCTAGAACACCATCTTCCCAAGCCGAATCCAGTCGCAGGAGAAGACTCAAGCCCAGGCTTCTGTCTGGGCCCAGAGCCAGTGCTCTCAAGTGGAGTGAAACCCACGGTTTCCTTTCCTGAGAAAATGGAACCGCGAGCCCCATCTTCCCTAAATTCGGGAGCGGCAATGCTCAGAGCCTGCGGACCCTGACTTGGGGAAAGCTGCCGGCGAGAACGTGGGCTTCCATGGCTCCTCTGCCTTCCTTCTCGGGCTCTAGCACTACTAGCAAACATACAAGTGGACACAACTGCTGGCCTTCTTGTCTCCCCCCCTACCCCCGTCAGCTATTTGGGAGAGGCTGGGGCCGACTCACCCGCGCGCTGCCTCTGGGCCACACCTGCCGCGCTGGTGGCGTCCGGCGGGAGGGCGGGCGAGAGCCTGCACCCCAGGCGCGGCAGCCGGGCTGCGACAGGACAGAGGGCGGGGCGGGGGGGTAGGCGGCCTGGCCTCACCAGAGCCACCAGGGAATAAGGCAAGTCTCGCAGTGCTCCAGACCGGGCAGAGAGGGATGGGAAGGAGCGCACGGGCGGGGCCGCTAGTGTGCCTTCCCCCACGATCCTGCGGCGAGCGATGGTCACAGTGGGGAATCATGGGGAAGCCCTGAGTCCTTCAGGCCGCAGGCTGCACGCCGCCGGTGACCGATCGGATCCGCCGGCCTTCAGGCTCTTTCTGCTAGCAGCCCCTCCTGGGCGAGCAACGCCTGGTGAGCAGCCCTTTAGCACGAGGACAGTTACACGGTGACACTTCTCGATCGTAGTAGGATAGACCATCCCTGAGCTGGGGGTGTAGCTCGGTGGTAAAGCCCTTCCCTAGCATTAGTGAGGCCGTGGGTTCGAGCCCCAGGATGGGGGGCGGGGGGAACCGCAATCACTGCTCCCCTTGGCGGGGGTTTCCTGTGACAAGATGACCTGCTTTACTGCGTGGAGGGTAAGCGAGGAGATGGGCGCCCAGGCACGTCATGGGGGAAGTGGCGTCGCAGAGCACGTTCGGTTCACCCCGGGCGCTGCGTACTCCGGGGGGCGGCTCGCTGCCGCGGATTTCATTCTGGAAAATCCTGGGTTCTTTCTGCCCATTTCCGACTTGCGCAGGTTGGGGATAGGTGACCGACTCTGGGTAGCTCAGCAACAAGGGGTGTGTGGTGTCACTCTTCTCCGGGAGTCCCCTGTGAGTCTGGGGGCTGCGTGGTGATGGAACCTGAGCCCCTGCCCCGGGAGCGCTGCGCGGAGGGCCCGGCCTGCAAGACGCGGTCCTCCAGCAGCGCACTGCGGCGTCGCAGCCGCCGCTCCTCGCTCCTCTGCCACTGCCAGCACCCCGAATCGCGGCTCCTGGGCGGAGCTCGGCGTGCCAGGCCGCGGCGGGTCGCCTCCCGCGTTCCTCTGGGTCCCCGCCCCGGACCGGAGGGACGTGTGGCCGGCGCGGTACGACGCTGCCCCCTGGCGAGAGAACGTTCCACTAACTTCCCGGGTGCCCCAGGGAGGAGAGTCCGCCAACCGCCTTTCCTTCCAAATCATGTTTTTGGACGCTTACAAGCAAAATCCTTCCACTTGTGCTTTCCTTCATGCTTCACAGCGACGCTCACATAAAAAAAAAAAATGCAAACAAGACCAAGGAACTACTTTATTGAGCTATAATTTATATAAAATAAATACCATAAATTGTTAGTATTGTATACAGTCTCATAACTTTTGGCTGATGTAAACACCAGATTGGCCGGTGCCCCGGTTCGAGAAGCGCATTACCAGACCCAAAACAGTCCCCTGCTCCTTTGCAGTCAGTCCTTCATCCCTCTTTACCTGGGCTCCAGTCATCCACTCTGATTTTTATTCCTGGGTCTGCCCCTCTGACAATTCCATATAAATAGGACCAAACAGTATGTGCTCTTTTGTTTGTGATATCGGCCCCTCTTTCTTTTTACTTTAGCACAATGCTTTTGAGATTCACCCATGTGGTTGTGTGTGTGTTGTATTTTCCTCTGACTTGTTCTTGAAATCCCCGTCTGGACACTGGTTATAAGCAGCCTTGTCTTGACAAGGCTCCAGGGAATTTGGTCTTGAGTGTCCATAGTGTGTTTTCCACCAGATACTTCTGTACACTCGGAGATGGCCTAATGCTTAAGAGTCTGACAGGTGACCCATGTCTGACCTGTGTCCAGTTTATTCCAAGGTAGATGGCTCTATGAGAGTCCTGGCCAGAGAAAAAGGTTCTGGGGTGTTACTGCAGTAAGGCCAGACAGAGCAGGCAATGCAATACAGCCCATGGAATAACAAAAGTTGTATATTACTTATAAACCATGAGAGGAGAGGGGTGCTGATGAGGGAGTTAGGTAGCTCATGGGGGCCTTGTCTCAGCCAGCAGCTGGGAAGCAGAGAGGGATGGATCTGTGGGCAGGAGCCTTTATTGAGATCCAAGGTGTTAGTCCCCAGCAGGTGTTCCAAGAGGGCTTCTACTTAGTTTGTTCAGAGCCAGCAGGCTTAGGTTCTATGCTGGGACTTAGGAGCAGTCACTATAGCAGATCTATGCAGTCCATGGAGGGTGTGGGGTTCGTGGGATGAACCCTGTAGCTTGTATCTCTCTGTCTTGTCAGTAGGGGGTTACCAGGAAGTGGTTACAGCAGAGAGGACAAGATATCTGGATTGACTGTATTGAGGAACTGGGGGGGAAAAAAACAGTTGTGCACTGTCAGAGGTGGCCAAGCCACGCTGGGGCAACATTAAGTTTCTCATAGTCACTGGAGTGGATGTCAGTAGATCCCTTCTTGTCATTGGTGAGTAGTTTGCCATTGTATGGGGACACCACAAGTTGTTTATCCATTCGAACACTGCGGACGCTGGGCTCTGAACCCCTCAAAGGTTCAGAGAAGGCATCCTCTCAAAACTCCAAAAAGGACCCTTGGATTCTTTCTAGTTGCAGGATATTGTGAATAAAATGGACTTACACATTCCATAAAAGCTTTTGTGTGGACTTACGTTTTCATTTCTCTTGGGTAAGTACCTAGAAGTGGATGGGCTCGCTGGTTGTGTGGTGAGTCTGTTTTTAATTTTATAGGAAGCTGTGAAATTGTTTTTCAAAGCAAGTCCACTATTTTATATCATCACCAGCAGTGCCTGAAAGTCCATGGCAGCCTGTGGTTTGACTTCGCATCTTAATGGAATCTTGCAAAGAACCAAATTTCTAGTTGTGACAGCATTCAATTTATTAAAACTTTTCCTTGCTGGCTCATACTTTTTGTCTTAAGAAATCTTTTTACCTTAATATTTTCTTCTAGAATTGAAGCACTTTTTGCTTTTTGTTCAAGTCTCTGATACATTTGAATTAACTTTTATGTATGGTTTGAGGTAAGGATCAAGACTCATTTTCCCCCATATGGATATTCATTTTCTTGAACCAAAGGTATTTGAAAAAACTACCTTTCCCCTTTGATTTATTTTCATACCATTATCAAAACCCCACTGTGTTTAGTCTAGAGGTAAGCAGGAAGGCCTCTAGACACCTAGGAAGGGGCACCAGTTAATCCAGGCCGAGATCCAATGGCAGTTTTGTTTGTGGGTTGAATGGTCTGGGTGTGGAGGGGTTGGGGGAAATGTGGGCTAGAAGCAAGCAACTTGGATGGAGTGAGGCCCTACCCCACTCAGGAGTGTGCACTTTATCCTGGGAGTGATGGGGGCTGCTGAAATGTTTTTGTCAGAATTATAGTTAGATTTGCAGTTTAGATAGTTTATGCTGGTTGCAAAGGAGGATTAGAGGAGGTCAGAATGGAGGCAGCCTGATCAGTGAGGAGGCTCTATTTCTTTTGGGGAGGTACTGGGACTTGAACCCAGAGGCACTCTACCACTGAACTACATCCCCAACTCTTTTTATTTTTTTATTTTGAGACAGAATTCTGCTAACTCACCCAGGCTGGCCTTGAATTTGAGATCCTCCTGCCTCAACCTCCCAAGTAGCTGGGATTATAGGTATGTGTCTCCATGTCTAGCTAAGGATGCCGTCTTTCCTTTCCTTTCTTTCTTTTTCTTTTTCTTTTCTTTTCTTTTTTTTTTTTTTTTTTTTTTTTGCATGGGGGGATTGAACCCAATGGCACTTAACTATGGAGCCACATCCACAGCCCTTGTTTTTTTTTTTTTGTTTGTTTGGTTTTTTTTGAGACAGGATCTCACTAAATTGCTTAGGACCTTACTAAATTGCTGAGGCTGGCCTTGAAATTGCAATTCTGCCACAGCCTCCCAAGTCATTGAATTATAGGTATGTGCTACCACGCCCTTCTCCAAAGAAGCTGTCTTGATAGTGTAATTGAGAGAAATGACAGGTAGAGAAATGTGTTTGTCCAGTTTGTTGCTAATAGCACAATACCACAGGCTAGGTAAATTATGAAGAAAAGAAGTTTCCTTTGGTTCACAGTCTGGTTTGAGGTTGATGGGCTGCATCTGATGATATTTTCTGCTGGCAGAATCTCCAGGAGGCACAGAGGATCTCGTGGTGAAAATCAGGGAGTACTTGTGCCCATATTCTCTAGTCTCTGTCCCTCTTCTTGTTCTTGATTTTTCTTCTTTTTTAAAAAATATTTTTCAGTTGTAGATGGACATAATATCTTTATTTATTCATTTATTTTTATGTGGTGCTGAGGATCAAACCCAGTGCCTCACACATGTGATGCGAGTGCTCTACCACTCAGCTACAGCCCCAGCCCTGTTCTTGGTTTTTCTTTGTACTCCTTTTCCTGAGATTGGGTCCTATTATGTTTCCCTCTAACTCCTGACCTCAAATGATCATCGTGCCTCAGCCTCCCAAATAGCAGCGACTATAGATGGATGCACACCACTGCTTCTGCTTCTGCCCACTTCTTATAAAGCCACCAATATTTAATCATAGAGGTTCCACACTGCTCACTATATCTAACCCTAACCACTTCCTAAGACCCCACCTCTAAGCACCACAGTCAGATTAAACTTACACCCCCTAATGCCTTATCATGGGGATTAAACTTGAACATGAGTTTTCAAAGGGGATAAACCATATTCAAACCATAGCAGGAAATTTCCTCTGGTTATCTTTTTAAAACTTTGACTGTTGTACCTTGTTTACATATTTAAAACAAATTCTGGGAAATTCAGTAGGTAGAAGCCACAGGACTTGGTGACTTTTGGAGTTAGAGGGAAGGAGGGATGTTCTGTCTGGGTGCTTTTCAGCCACCTCTCATGCTGGCTGTGCTGGCTGTCACAGCAGAGGCTCCCTTACATCCCTGGAGCCTCATTTTTCTCATTTAAAATAGAGATAATAATAGTGCCTGCCTGTTACCTCAGGATAGCTGTATTGTATACCTGTACAGAACTATTACCATAAATACAATAATAACATTTAATTATCTGTGCAAGTAGTGGGAGCTGTAGGAATCAGTTACTCTATTGTCACCACAGTCATCATGAATGAAATCAGCTGCTTTCCTGCTCTGACCACTGGGTGGCACCACAGATTGATTCTGTGGCTGCTCTACCTTCTTTTTATTTTTTGTAGATCAAAACCAGCAAGTTATTGGCAATTTCATATGATCATATGATTCTATCTAATGTTGAGAGTGTCTCCTGCCTTGAGATGTTTCCTTTCAGCTTTATCACAACTAAACACTGATCTATGCAATGGGTTCTTTGGCTGGGGCTCCTGACCAGCCATTAGAACTCTGTGCAGCTCAGAGGCCAGGCCTGTGTCCATGGTGAGGATGGCCAAAGCCTTGGAATCCTCCCAGTAGTTAGTGGGACTTGCTGCCAGAGGTTTGGAG